TATATATATATATATAATAATTTTACGTATATGATAAGAGCAAAGCAAGGAGTGCATTCAGAATGTCAATCGCTCATTCAGCTCTTTTATTTGATTGGTCTAAATTTTAGAATCTAGTGGAATATGCCGATTAGATGAAAGAGCTCATTGAGCAGTTGTCGTTCTGAATGCATCCAAGGTCTGTGCTCGCGGCTGACAAATTTTCTAATTTCAATAGTTGTCAATTTTACCGTTTAATATCTCAGCTGATGGGGCAAAGCGATACTTTTTTCTGTTAAATTCTTTCATTTCATGCAAAACCGCGTCGAATAAGTCTAATTTTATCAACATTGGAAATGAGGGGGGTAAGGATTCTAAATAATTACCAAAGGATGAATTAAATCGTTGATATGATTCTACAATACAATTAACTAATCAAAACAAAAATTGTAATTTAAATACGAAGTGCCACTACGGTCTGAATGTTAAGATGTTGAACTATTATATATATTCATATAAATTATAAATGAATTATATATGCCTCGGTGGTCTAATGGCTTAAGACGCTCGTACGGTTTACAAGAGATCCGGGTTCAAGTCCCGGCCGAGGTAATATTTTTCGCAATAAATTTATTAACAGTTTTAATATATTAACATCTTTATAATATATGATGCTTGATGGTAGCAACAAAATTATTAAATTGCTTGTCAATTTAATTCGCGATTACTAGAGTAGTTTTAATTGCGTTTATTTAGTCCGGAAAAATAATTTGGCGCGCAGTTTGAAAAAGACTACAATATGGTATATATGCAAGTACATATATAGTGTATATTAGTAATTCAAGATTGAATTATTTAAAAAGCAACGAAGATCCAGCTTCGACCGTAGTAGACATTTTAAATTTCTAGTATTGATTGTGTTTCTCACATATACGGTCTAAAAATAAAGATATTGTTTAAATGAATTAATTTCAGAAATTATAATCAAGTGCCGATATGGTTGTCGGACTTCAACGCAATATATCAATCTGAAATATTAATAATCCCCCCAGATTTCCCAAATTTAATTTTAAAAAACTGTAATAAACTTATTGCGAAAAATATTGCCTCGGTCGGGAGTTGAACCCGGATCTCTTGCATTCCGTGCGAGCATTCTTAGTCTCGGTGGTCTAAAGGTTTAGGACGCTTGCACGGAATGTAAGAAATCCGGGTTCGGCTCCCGGCCGAGGCAATATTTTTCGCGATAAGTTTATCACAGGTTTTTAAGATTAAATTTGGGAAATTTGAGGAGATTATTAATATTTCGGATTGATTGCATTGAAAGTCGGATAACCATATCGGCACGCAATTATAGTTTCTGAAATTAATTCATTTAAATGAATATATATAATGGTTTAACATCTTAACATTTAGGCCATATTGGCGCTTCGCGCGCGCGCATATTTAAAGTAAAGTTTTTAATATAAACGGTCTTATTTCCAATGTTAAAAATTGTAATACCAAAAATATTCTGAAAGTAATGAAAATTGAAATTTTAATTTATAAAAATCATTGGTATATATTTATTTAGAGAGAGAATATAGTGCTCACTGCTCACCTTCGATTTTGATAAAATTAGACTCATTTGACGCGTTTTTACATGAAACGAAAGAATCTGTAAGAAAAAAACGTCAGGTCGACTCCACGAACCAAGATATTAAGTGTTAAAATTCACGATTGAGATTAGGAAATCTGTCGTAGCGACGAGATGCAGCCGCACGTCTATGGGCCGCAGTCATGCACATATAATTGAAGCTGGAATAAGTATTTTCTGCTTCAATTACGCAAATTCTCTTCTTTAAAAACACATCCTCTGCTTTAAGAATACAAATTCTCTGCTTCAAAAACAAATTTTCTACTGTAAAAATGATATAGAAAATAATTTGTTTTTAAAGCAGAGAATTTACTTTTTAAGCAGAGAGAATATCACATACGTCAAAAAGTTTTCCCGAAAAACAGGAAACCTTTCAGCCTAAACTGATAGATTTACTATTTACACAATGGCTGCGTTCAGCAGACTCAGCAGTTTTGCAACAGTTTTATGATTCGTCGCGTTGATTGGATTATACTTTTAATTTTAAAGGAATAGTCCAATCTGAGCGAAAAAATCATAAAACTGTTGCAAAACTGCTGAGTCTGCTGAACGCAGCCATTATTACAATCCGTAGAAAATTTAATTGTAGTGTCTAGAGGTTTTCGTTAGTACAACATTATTCCTTCCACTTTTCGGGAAAATGTCTAATCCAGGGCACGATGTAATTGTAACCTATGACAGATTTCATAACCTCAATAGTCGTAAATTTTAATGCTTAATATCTCGGTTCGCGGAGCTAACCTAACTTTTTTCTTACAGATTCTTTTTTGTACAAAAACGCGTCGAATGAGTCTAATTTTATCAAAATCAGAGGTGAGGATCGTATTCTAAATAAAGACCAAAACATTAATAAAATACAATTTAAGATACAATATAATACTAACAGAATTGTCTCATTCTCCTTAAGTATTCTCACATCCTCAATTGGCGGTAGATATTCGGTGTCATTCAGCAACAAATGGAATGGTTCCGCAATATTGAACAGTTTACTAACATGTTGCTTCAAATGATTAATCTGCTGAATTTTCATTCCATCGACGAAGATCCAGCAGGACCGACGTGCATCATGGAAAAACTTAGAAAGATCAACTTTCAACCGAAAATGTGGACGCTTTGTTAAGACGTCTTCCATAGTTATCATTGTAAAACGTTGATCAACTGTTTTAATTAGCCCGGCACTTCGAAAAACCTCGAACTTTTGATGAATTTTTTTTCTTTTTCTTTTTCCTGGATTATAATAGCTCACATTGCAAACCGACAGCGACTCTGGCCAGCGTGAGAGGAAAGTGAGTAATAAATCTGAAACCACACACACACCACTAGAGACCCTCTAATCAGAGTTGCGACACGAGGAACAGCTAATTTTGATTGGTCCGTCATTTTTCAGCAATTCCCGCCAATATTCGAATGTCAATATTGTAGGAATGGGTAATGTGCATATCGATACGCTAAAAATTGTTTGCAAACTAACCTATTTTGTGAAAAATCAATTTTTCCAACCAAAACAAGCATAGAATGACAGAAATAACGTTAAGGCCGCAGCACAGACATAAAACATAATGCATAGTACATAAACGAATCAACTAATCAGAATCTTTCCTTTCCTCCCATTCCATGGAAAAGAAGAATTTCGATTGGTTGATTCTCTTATGCACTATGCGTTATGCG